GATAACTTCCAACGACTTCCCTCTCTCTCCCACTCCCGACTCCCGACGACGACGACTCCGACGACGACGACTGCCCTCTCTCTCCGATGACGACTGTCCTCTCTCTCACGGCCCTCTGACGACGACTTCCGACGATTACTGTCCTCTCTCTCACGGCCCTCTGACGACGACTTCCGACGATTACTGTCCTCTCCTCCAAGCTCCGACAACAACATCCTCCTCCAGGCTCCGACCAACAGACTTCCAGGCTCCGACGATCGTCAGATTTCCAGGCTCAGACGACAACATCTCCATCTTTGTTGGCAGCGGCTTCGTCTGCAACAGAGAAACAGGTAATCGACTTCCCTTTAACTAATTAGATGCTATATTTCTTGAATTTATTTCTTCATAGTTCATTCATATTTCATACAACAAGCTTATCAATTATGCATTTGTAGAATTTTTAGATTTTTATATGATTTTTCTTATTATTTAGAACATTTAAATGTATTTATATTTGACCGCTATTTGACAGTGCACTATTTGCCGCTATTTCGCCGCAATAGCGCGCAATAGCCTTAGCGGTACCTCGCCGCGACGCGCCGCGATCCGCTATCAACAACCTTGTCTGTCTCCCAAAGGTGCCTCGTCCTCCCCCTGTGTCGCGGTCACGTCCTCAACCACGACCACGACCTCTGTCACGTCCAGAGAACATAGCAGATTGATCAAGTGATGGAGCGGACGGTGATGGAGATGCAGTAGTCAATCCTGTAGTTACTTACATAACCCTGGAGAATGTAACAGTCAATGACGGGATAGTATCTCCTCCGAGTATTTGACCCCGTATCTGAGACTGCAAAGTGGGATTCATACCAGATAAGAACTTGGAGACAACAAGGTCCCTACGATATCCCAACAGTGTTGCGGCATCCGTAACAGTGGGCTGATGTATTTCTAATTCATCGATCAGACTCTTCAGTTCCCCAAAGTATTCGAGTATAGAGCGATCACCCTGTTGAAGAGAGAAAATACGTTCATACAACTCGAAAACACGGGAAGCATTTTTCTCATTCCCGTACATAATTTTTAAATTATCCCACATTTTCTTAGCAGTGCTCGAGAGCATGACACTGCTACTGATCTGGGCTTCCATGCTATAAGAAACCAAGTCATCACACAACAGTCAGCAGAGAGCCATGCGGGATACATGGGATCTGTGGATGTGAGAGGTGGAGCCCAAAGATGAGTCAATTTATTCTGAGCATCAATGAAGATGCAGAAGGCTTGTGCCCAAAGTAGGTAGTTGGTGCCATTTAACTTCACGGTGGTCCCCAAAATGACTTTCGGGGTAGAAATCTCAGCAGTAGTATGTGTAGTAGTAGCAGCAGAAGAGATGTCAAATCATGTCATTGTTACAGAACAGGATAGTACGATATCAGGAGTGTAACAGTCTCCTTGTCTAAAGTAGAAACCTGAAGGTTAGAAAAGAACTCACCCGAAGGTCAGAACCTGAGTAACCTGGGTTATACCCCGAAGGTCAGAGTAGAAAACCCGAATGTCATTTTGCAGGAACCCGAAGGTCAAAATAGAACCCGAAGGTCAGAACCCGGGTGAGAACCCGAAGAGTAGAAGAAAAAACCCAAAGGTCAGTAGTCATAAACCCGAAGGTTAAAAGGAGAGAATCCGAAGGTCAGTAGTCAGGAACCCAAAGGTTAAAAAAGAGAACTCAAAGGTCGGATTTTTTTTTTGGGTTTCGATTTTAACCGAAGGTCGTGTTTTTTTTTTTGTTACAAACTCTGACTCGGTCAAAACAAGAGAGGCCTAAACAGAGAAGCCCAAACAAGAAAATCACACAACAAATAGCCCAACAATCACAACGTATGACAGCGGCTAAAAAAAAGAAGAGATCCTAGTGTAAGACATCGATGATGGCGGCGGTCTCGGATGACGACGGGGCAGCGGTCTCGAGCAGCGGTGTCGAGGTTGAGGACGACGAGTGACGGTCCGAGCAAGCGATGATGACAACGGCGGCAAGAGCAAGCGACAGCGACGACTAGGATATGATCTCGAGCAGGTGATGATGACGACGGCGACAAGAGCAAGCGACAGAGGCGACGACTAGGATATGATCTCCGATGACGGCGAGTGTGGAAGGAGAACAGCAGCCGAGATCAAAGCCTTCTTCGCACAGAGGATGACGACGACAGCTAGGGCTCGGAGGTACAATAGTTTTTTTTTGTGGCGGCTAGGGTTTTGGAGGCAGTAGGGTTAGGGTTTTGGAAATTGGCTCTGATACCATGTTGAAGTGAGAAATCAGAGAGCTTTCCTCTTCCATTCATTCACATGAGTTTATATAGGGTTACATATGGGTAATAGGCTAATAGGTTAATGGGCCCTAACCCAATAACCCAAATACTAATTCTAACAGACATTAAGAATGAAAGTTGTCGACAAGATAAGTGCAAGAGAGTGGAAATGATGAAGGCAAATGTTGGTTTAACAAGATAGAGCGAGGAAATAAAAAAAAAGGTTTTGGTTCAGATACCGTGACCATATCAATCAAAGACCCAGATATAGTGTGGTCCCTCTGCCACTGCTCAAGGGTGTCTACAATGACCCGGGTTTCAAAACCTTCAAATCTAACACAAGAGGACCTTTTATTTTATAATGTATAAGCTTGAGTGTGGTTAGAGAGCAAATATTCCGATGAAGTTTACAATATCTAGATGGTATGACTAGCAGGTTTGGAATTTAAGGGTTCCTCTTTGACCTTGGTACCTGAGAGAAAAACATCTACGAATTTTCTCCTGCTTGGAAGAAGACTACCGTCCTCCACTGAAATCCATCAATTAACTCACTCATACCACAGCGACAATCCTAAAGCTGGTTCAATGCACAATGACTGTTGGAGGATGATTCAACTCCTAGAAAGGAGGTAGTCATCTCAAAATGATACAAAAATAGACTGAACTAGGTTGATAGAGTATCATGTCAAAGATGTATATATGGGACAAAATGACTAAACATGATGCACAGATAGAAAGAGAGAAGAAGACATATAAGAGTGTTTCTAACAATATATCATAAACTAAGATGAACTTCTATGTCTGGCTACAGTGATACTTAAGAAAGGGTAGAACCTGCAATTTTTCAGCCACTTTCTCACAGTCCATTCTTGAAAGGCAATAAACGATGCCACATTCATCAAAGTGATTTTCTTTGATAAATTTATCCATGTCGTCCAAGCACTTCTTTGTCTTGGGCATGATAGAATACCTGCAAAATTTATCTTAATGATTTGCTGAAAACTAACAGTTCAAATTATTTTGCATCACACTCACGATAAGTTTGGGCGGTTGAAACTTTGTTTAAAAATGACGCAATTCTCAAGGCCAAGAGCTTGAACAACATCTTCCTTGACACTAGCGGTTGCTGTAGCAGTTAGGGCCAGCACAGGAGTATTGGGAAACTTCTGTTTCAAAATGCCAAGGCCCTGACGTAATACAAAATACGAGCAATGAAATAATAAATTCCAAAATGTATAAATGATAAACTGCGTAAAGAGCTCTGATTGTTCTTACCTGATAATCCGGTCTAAAATCATGTCCCCATTGGCTTACACAATGAGCTTCATCTATGACAATTCTAGCAAGTAATTCACGAGAATATAAACTGTCCAAGTGCCTCAACAAAACATCGCTTCTGTGATGGCATAAATATGTATAAACAGATAAGCTTGTATTAAATTGGGGAACACTGTAACGGTGGAGCAAGAATAATTTTAGAATTTCTATGCGAAAAATGCACTACCCAAGTGCACAGTGTACAAATAGGCCATAGAAATTTGAAATCCATCCCATTAAACATGACATAGAACATACAAATATTTTGCATATACAATCAGTCTTATAAATTTACTTTCTTTTCACTGTTCATATTTGCATCTTTATCGGTAAGGTAGTAGTGAGCAGGGTAAAACTTCGTGGATCATTGTAGGGTATCCATAATAACTCGAAGCTTTAGCTAACAGCAGTGTAACACTCTAAGAAGACCCCCAAAAAAAAACTCGAGGTGCGAATCATGATGGTTTCTTAAATTTCACCTTCTGCGATAACAACAGAGCTCATTATCCCATATTTTGGAATCAGCTAGACTAATTCCTCTTTTCTCCATTAGCTCTCCATTAAGGGCTAACTTCTTTCCTTTTGGATTTTTATGTTCTGTATCAGCTATCTTTGATCATCCAAATACTTGCAATGTTTGGTTTGTATACACTAGCATTCACAGTTGATGAATATGTGATTTTTGAGCTATCCTTGATCATCCAAATCTTGGTACTGGATGGGAACCACATTCCTAGAGATCATTTTCACTAAATTCAAGTAGCCGCTATACGTCATGCTCCATCACTGTGCTCAGTCATTGCACCACCAAAAAAGAAAATACAGGATAAGACAAAGCAAAACTTCCCTTAAAGATTACATGGCAATTGTAAACATTAAAGAAAGGTTTTTCAACAACGCAAGATGAAAAGAGGGTATCAATGGTAGCTATTAAATAGTATGTTGAAAGTTTTAAAAGCATACATAAGTTGAACAGGACAAACATGCAAATGTAGCATATGAATGATGAGGTAGCATGCTGGATCCAGGGACCAGGTCCAAGCAGACGTCGATAGAGCAACAATAGGAGGCACAGGTATGAGTAATGATTGGTTACATAGTGCTCTATGCATGGCTGGTTAATCAAGGACACTTGAACATTGATTGACTCATTACAAAAGGAAATGGTTTCAGAAGCATTAACTTTTCAGCAGAAACTTATATTGAATTATACACTCATAGAGACGCCCGGATATGGGTGGGATACCCCACTTTCATTAAATTAATTTACTTTTTTATATGGCAAATACTATCAGATACTCATAGATTTCGTTGTGTCCAATTATTTTTATCTTATATTCTCTTCTTTCCGAAGAAATAGTTAAAACGGTTGATGATAATTGATTTCTTCTAATTTTAATATAAACCTTTGAGGCACATATTATAAGGTGAAGTTAACCCTTTGAAAGAATATCACCCTTCCAAATGGCTTCCTTAGGGAAGCTAGTTACAAAAAAATTATAAAACTAACCATACTTAAGGGGTCTAGCCACCCTCACAGAGGCATCAAAAGTGATAGTATGGTGGTATTAATTTTTTACCAAACATGCAAACCAGCATTGAACATCTAAAATACGTACAAAACTTACTTTGCAACTTTTTCTGGAGTAACATACAACAACTTGTATGTACAGACACTGGACATTAGTTCTCTAAAGATTTCCTGTTGTTCGGTCCACTCCATATTGGCGNTTAATCACAATATCATTGTTATATCTAAAAAATCAACAGAATGCAATATGCTCTACCTGTTTCACAATATTATTGTCATATCTAAAAATCAACAGAATGCAACATGCTCTACCTGTTTCAAATGCATTATTTGGTCCTGGATAAGTGAAACAAGAGGAGAAACTACCAGCGTGACTCCTGGACAAATTAGAGCAGGAAGCTGCAAAGCATTTTAACTTCAGATTATAATAGAAGATAACAAATATTAATACAGGAGGTGAACATTTATAGCCACCAGCAAATAAAGATAGAAACAATGTTAGCATTCAAGCAAAAAAGTAAATATAAATGTACAATTTGCCCAGTGAATATGGCAAAGAAGACCATTAATCTATTAAATGTGGCCAGCTCAACTATCAAATAACCTAACCAGTGTAGACAATCCACATCCGTCGTAATAACCTAAAAGAGTGATTAACATTTGCTTTGTGCAGGACCTACACAGTAAGAATTAGCTGGAGTTTTCCAACCAAACAGCCCAAGAGTCCAGGTGATACTGGCTTCCAGAGTTATCTCGAAGCTCCCAGAGATTCTAGCTGTTTCCTTGGGTTATAGCAACAGCACAACACTAGAAGGCAATCATAACTCATTAACAATCATAACTCGTTAACCGTGTTTCAAACAACTAAATCTGTAACTCTCAGACCAAAAACTAAAAAATTCTACATCTTGAGTCCTTTTACGAAATAGGACCATAAAACAAAGAATAAGCACATATACACCAATTCAGATACAAACGTAATACAGCAAAACGATGCAAACTCTAAGTAAAACGTATAAAATTACAATGACACTGTAAGAAGTGTACATATTCGAAACATGCTACGTATTACATAGACAAAAAAGAAAGGAAAAGAATTAGAAGTGCACACAACTTAACCATAGATTAACAAAAGAGTAAACCGCTGTAATATCAGGAAATTACTATGAGATTTAATGAAGTCCATGGCCATAGTCATTAGCTTACCTGGTATGTTAGGCTCTTTCCCCCACCAGTTGGCATTAAAACAAAAACATCACAACCACTCATTGTCGCGTTGATCACCTCTCTTTGACTAGGGCGGAAGGAATGATTTCCAAACACTTTCTTGTTGTTGGCCTGGTATGAGAGTCAAATGCAGTAAGCATAAACAGAAAAGAAAGATGGGAAATTTTGCTCTTTTATTTTCAAGGAAGAAAACCTCAAGTTTCTTCGTCCATGGAAAGTCCATACGCTTCCACTTCGGATCAACAGAACCTTCAGTATAATTAATGTCCAGAAGCTTTGGAGTAAATATTTCTCTTTCAGCTGGTGGTAGTGGAGAATTTAGCCTATCCATGGAAGAAAACTGCATTGGAGTACTCCAACCTCCGTAGCTTCCTGCTTCATTTCTTATATGAACTTGAGAAAAGGAGCTCAATGAATCTACTCCTGATGTCATTACTGGAGTTCCAGGTTGGGAATTCTTGGCAGCAATTGTCGAGGTCATAGGATGTGATATGTGCTTTTCATCATCTTGGTTTGAGCAGAAGGCATATTTTTCAAGTTGCTGAATCTGTTTGTTCAAATGCAACCTGAAAAGAAGCAAATCTAGGAGCATAAAGAAATGTATTGATTCTTCTACGCACCGACCAAATGAACTCTAAAAAATGTTGTTGAGTAACATGAAACATAGCGACACACCGCTCATGGCGAAGATCTTCAATCTGCATTGAAGTAAGCTCAACATTGTCTAGAAGATCGTTTGATATAGCAATTAGTCTGTCCTTCATCTCCCTTATATGAGTTGTTGCTTCTGGACAAAGTCCGAGCTGGATAATGAAATATAAAGCACATTAATAATAGTGAAAGAAATTTCAGAAGCAGAAAGGTGAAACCAAAAATAGAGAGACATACTTTGAATCCATGACAACAGTTTTCACGTAGTTCCAAGGGAATGGTTTCTTCACAGGGGCCTGTGACATTACTTGTCAACCCCATTGGAGTAAAAGCCGCATATTTAGATGTGGATCCTTCAGGTGTGCCATTGCTTTGGTAGTGTTCCATAACTATCTGGTCTACATCAATATTCTGAGAAAAAAATAAAACAAGATAACACATAGAGCGTGTATATGATCACTAAATTACTATCAAGTAATAAGCTTCAAAAGAGCTAGCAGTAAGTAAACAAAATACAAACAAAATACCTCCAAAATATCATCATTCATAACATCTTCACAGTTTTCTTCAACATATTTATCCCCATACTTAGTCGAAGCATTGTGAGGGGTTCCCAAACCTTCATTAGAGGAACCACAGGGAACCTGCATTTTTCTCATACCCGGTTGCACCACGTTTGGAGCTGCATCAACATTATTATTGCAGATACCACCATTCATGAAAGAATTCCTTGTACAATTTAGAGAAGTGGTAACCCCATTGTTCGCTCCATGTGGTGAATCAGATCCATAATTATGTGTATACAAATTTTCATGAGCTGAGGCTCCAGATTTTTGGAAGTGAGGTGCTTTTTGTATAGTATTGCATGAATCTGACGCCTGGGAGGGGAACTGATTTGCATGATTAGGAACTGAAGCCGTTATTCCAGGTCTTAAATAATTCCTGCATGTCAAGTGGTTTCTGGAAAGAATATTCCATGCCTGTCATGTTTGGATCCAATGGGATTAGGATCACATGGAACCAATTTGATCGTCAGGCATGAAGAAAATCTCTCTCAAAAGAAAATAAGCAATAAAACTGATAAACATCAAATAATGAGAAATGATTTCAAATTTCTCATTTGTTAAAATTTTGAAACATTCAAATATAAAAGGATGGATAAATCATTTAAGAATACCTTCTCGACCACGGAACCTTGTAGCCTTCCATTTCTTTGAATATTACAGGTCATAGGCCTGAAGGGCATTAAGAATCAAATGGGATAAAATCATGAACATACATGTAAGAATAAAATCCAACAGAATGGATGGAAAAAGAAAGCAACCGGTAATTGGTAGCATAAGTAAATGTATTTCTCAATATCTCATGTATCAAAACGAGTTATAACTATCAGAGTCTAATGACGCAAAAAGAAGAAAAAGTAAAATTAATCTCAGTCAAATTGTGCACAATCTCTTCTAGAAAATATTATAAATTAAAGCCATAGAAACATTACACAGAAATAGAATAGTTTAAAATCGATCCACGAATCAATTTCCTTTTGTGGATAGAATTTTCACAAAAGAAGAATGTCTGAGAATTTTCACAAAAGAAGAATGTCTGAGCAGCAGACAAGTTACTAAATAATTATCATCGTTGCCAAAGCTCTTTCTCAAGTGAGGTCCGTAACTGGACAATTTAAGACAACATGACATGCAGATATCAACCGTTACGATGATGATAATTTCAGACTACAAAAAATTTAAGGCAAGAGGGACTTGCCAGAAAACAGTAGAACCAAAATCTAACAGGTAGATAGTCAAATAGTCAAATCTCATGGTAACGAAGTTTCAAGCTTGTGGCTCCTGTCCAAAGTATCTGCTAGGCTAAGAGAGACAATATAACAAAGATAAATTGATACACAGAGCTGCATTTGCCTCTTAGGTACACCATAAGCCAAGGAATGAGTTTGAATTTTGAAACAAGATTCAAGCTAATTTACTGAAATATAAATAGAATACTGTATGAAGTTCAACAAATCTTTAGATGTGCCATTTTAGATCTAGCCAATGCAGCAGCAGCAAAATTAAATGTGTTAATGTCTGGAAACACTATAGATCCATATTGAGGTTAAATATATCAGCGTATACCAAAACCAATGATTTGATGTCTTGAAACACTGTAAATCATTATTGAGGTTAGGTATATAAATGTATTCCAAAACGAAATGATTTGATGTCTAGAGACATAGTAGATCCTTGTTAAGGTGAGGTAAATCAATGTATACAATAATCAGTTAAGTTAAACATTAGACTACTAATTAAACGAAAAGATGTATTTGATGCATTTGAATGTGTCTAATTTTGTACTATAAGTCTAACTAAAATGTTTTGCCAATATAAAAAATGTTGTTCAACAAAATTTATATTGAATAATTCAGATTGCCTATAGGTAAATTGCAATGAATATTGTCTAATTCTAGAGTGCAAGGCCTTGATTGGTTCGAATGATTCTGGTCTAGGAGTTGTGCACTTTTGAGAAAAGAATAGGATGAAATCTTATGTCCCATCAGAGTTAGACATTGAATTATAGCTCAAGGATCCATCTTAAAGGCAGTGTTATTTGTACAAATATTTTCAAATATGTAGTTATGTTACACACACTAACTCTCATAGATTTCATGTCTTTCATAAGAGTTAGTTGGACTTCATTTGAACTCTAGGCTAACTTTTATAATGAAACAAAACCTACATTTTCTATAGCCATATTTCCAACTGCATTATCACAAAAAATAACAAACACAATGCATCATCAGGCAGGTTAAATGTGCAAATGTATACGTCAAAAGACCACTGCAGGAGAAATTTGAATATGAGAGAGAGAAAGACAAGAGGACGAGAAGGAAACAGTGAGGTACTGAAGTTGGACCCCAACACTTACATTTGGTACGGATATTATTCCTGACAAATTGTGATCAGTGTGTGGTAACTATGACTAAGAAAATATGTCTGGTTGGGGAACCTTCAGTCTTAAGGAGAAAGAGAGCCAGACAGCATACTTGGCTATGTTTACATCTGGACATTTGGTAGGTTGTCACCAAGTAACAAAATCAGTAGTTGGGAATCCCAAATCATTGAACGGATTCTCGCACCTGCTTGAGTCCATTGCAAAATATTAAGCTGAACATTTTTCCAACAAAATAGGGATTCTTATTTTTTTTAGATGCATTAGCACATATACAAGTGACATAGGTCAGCTGGACATTTCCACATAACATGGCTTGCAACATATCTTAAACCAAACAAGAGATAGTATATATAAAAAAAATTAAATTCCCGTGATATTGTGCATTGAGACACTGAAAAAGAATTCACAAGTGCAAAACATGGTATACCTTGGACACAGCATTCCTTCGGGTTGAGGTTTTTGTGATTCCAAGGAGTAGAGGAAACCAGAGCTCAAGTACTTATCTTGACACGTGAAGTTGTCAAAAGCTGCTGCATGCTGCTGCCAATTCACCTTGGGAAGTTTTTCCCCGCAATCAAATCCTTTATCTAACTTGCTTTTACTGCATATAGTGCATGGAGTATTAATATATCATATAATAAAAATCAAAGGAAATCCACAGGACAATCTTCACTGCTAATCATGCCTTGATGACGCTCCTCTATTCATCTAATCATCAGATAGCATAACACATTGCTCCTAATACCACATGTTATATTTGAAAATGCAGTAAGGAAAATTAATAATAAAAAGAAAAATAATGATCCGTAAAATTATTCATTTTGACATTTAACCATACAAATTGCCGTCATTCAGGAAAGACAGAAACAGTAATCTTGAACAAGTTAGAACCCTAGAACATCCAAAAGATTTCATTTTTTCTTACAGAAGTCGATGAATCGATTGATCAAATACTAAAGATGAGAGATTTAAAGGCGTTACCCGCGATCTCTAGCGGAGGAGAGCGGACGAACCCTAGAAATTTAGAATAGGGTTGAAATTGCAGGAGATGAAACAGGATTCGAGCACAATTAGGAAAGAGTAGGGTTTTGATCAAAGGCGATAGAGGGAACTGGGGAGATTTTCTTTTTTGGGTTTTGTTTAGGTTTGCTTTTAAAATGTTTTCGCTCTCGCTCGCTTTAAAATTTGGGCGGGATTGATATTGGTTTTCACGGACGGTGAAAGACTGGAAGTGAGGAAGCAGGATTAAGGGGTGTGTTTTGTTCAATTTCTATAACGCCCTGTTTGGATGGAGGGTAGAAGGGGGAGGGGAAGAGAAATGTAGTTTTCATCTTGTTTGGGAGTTTTTTTAAAGAGGATAGAGAGGGGGAAGGAAAGGGAACGGAGAGTAAAATTGCTTGGTTTTCTTTCCCCCCGATTTGGGCGGTAGGGGCCTGTTTGGATTTGTAGGGGGTGAAGGGAAGTTACGGGAAACTAAGAGAAGGGAAGGGAAGGGAATGGAAGGGAAGGGAGTTCTCTTCCCCTTGGTTACACCCCAATTTGGGGGGTAACAAATTTTATACTATTAGGGGGTGAACTAAAGGCCTGTTTGGATTCGTAGGGGGTGAAGGGAAGTTAAGGGAAACTGAGTGAAGGGAGGGAAGGGAAAGGAAGGGAAGGGAAGGGAATTCCCTTCCCCTTGGTTACACCCCAATTTGGGGGGTAACAATTTTTATACTATTAGGGGGTGAACCAAGGTGAATGGAGGTGAATTAACTTCACCTCCTAAGTATTCCAAAACAAGGTGAATGGAGGTGAATGGTTCCCCTAACTTCCATTCACCCTCATTCCCCTCAATCCAAACAAACCCTAAGGGGAACTAGGGTGAATTAACTTTACTTCATAAGTGTTCCCAAACAAGGTGAATGGAGGTGAATGGTTCTCCTAACTTCCCTTCACCCTCATTCCCCTCAATCCAAACAAGCCTTAGAGGAGGGTAAGGGAGGGTAAATGGGTGTAATGACATTCTTACCCCCATCAAAACAAATAAAAGAGCTGATGTGTTATTAGTGGGTGTAATGACATTCTTACCCCCATCAAAACAAATAAAAGAGCTGATGTGTTATTAGTATAAAGTCATTTATGTAAATTTACATATATTTACTAAACAAATAAAAGAGCTGATGTGTTATTAGTATAAAGTCATTTATGTAAATTTACATATATTTACTTTCCTTCACCTTACTCAACTCCCAAACAACATATTACAATTCTCTTCCCTTCCTTTCCCCTCCCTTCCCGTTGTTTACCTTCCCTTCCCTTCCCTTAGTAAACTCCCAAACACACCATAAATTACATGAAAAGTAAAACGCTCAGGGGTTGTTTGGTTCGCATTTTTGGCCCGTAGAAAACTTTAACAACTATTCCACATCATATTTTTCCCTTCCACCTCAGATTTTTCATTTCCACGCTATTTCTTTCACAGTTTTGTTTCTCTAGGGCTGAAGAGGAAAACGAAGCCGCAAATCGCCGCCACCTCAGTTTTTTTCTTCGTTCCTGATTCCCTCACCATCCGAGTGAAATCGACGAAAACTTTGTCACATCGGATTTCTGGCTTCGTCGTTGATTTCCTTCAGCCCCTAATAGTTACCTCTCTCCTCCCGCCATAAACTTTTGTTCTCTTCTGGTTGTCCCTGTAATCGAAGAAATTGGGGGAGTGGGTTTGATCTTGTGCCACCAATTTATCAGATCTGGTCTTTGTCGACGTTGTTGCTTCCAAACAAAGGTAAAAATTGTTTTCTTTTATTTTTCAGTTTTTAGTTTAATTTAGATCAATTTTGTAGAGAAATTGGTGCCCTATTCTGATTATTAGTTTAATTTTTTTCTTCGGTCCCTATTCAAATATGAGATTAGGGTAAAAATTGTCTATACAGATCTGAGATTAGGGTTAACAAAGATTATTAGTCATTCAATTCCTTGATTTACTTGATTTTATTTGAGAGATGGACACAGAGTGATAACATAATTAAGAGAGGGTCTAGACCACGCTATATATTTTTGAGGAATCGGGCCAAGCTATAACTGCTTGTATGTTGATGTTGTTGGCTGATGGAGTTGATGCCTGGTGGCGACATGGGGTTGTTTGTTGCCTGTTGGTGTTGGTGGCTAGTTGTAAGCTTGCTTGTATGCTGATGTTGTTGGTTGGTGATGTTGTTGCCTGGTGGCTACATGGGGTTGTTGCCTGTTGGTGTTGGTGGCCGGTTGTGAGCTTGCTTGTACGTTAATGTTGTTGGCTGGGGTTGTTGTTGCCTGGTGGCTATATGGGGTTGTTGCCTGTTGGTGTTGTTGGTTGGTGTAAGCCTGCTTGTTATGTTGAGGTTGTTGGCTGGGGCTGTTGTTGCTTGGTGGCTACATGGGGTTGTTGCATGTTGGTATTGTTGGCTGGCCATAAACTCCTGCTTGTATGCTGATGTTGTAGAATTGGTGGTGTTGTTGCCTGTTGGTGTTGTTGGCTGTTGATGCCTGTTGGTGTTGATGCCTGTTGGTGTTGTTGGCTGGGTTGTTGTTGCCTGTTGGTATTTTTGGCTGCATTCTTGATGTTGTGAGCCTGCTTGTTTATTGATGTTATTGTTGGCTTTTGGTGTTGTTGTGTGGTTCCTTTTTCGTGGCTGCTTGGTGTATCCTGGTTCTTTTTTCGTTGGTTGGTTGGTGCATCATGTTCATTGTTGGGTAACTGATGCTTTTGTGCTTGTTTTGGGGATTTCTGGTTGTGAGCCTGGTTGTTGTTGTTTCCGCTGGATTTGATTTGGATGATATTGTTTACAGTGTTCAAATTAGGCTATGATGCTTTTCAATTTATCTAAGATTAGCAACCTGCAGTATCTATTGATGTTGCACTAGAGGCTAACAATGATGATATTGAACAAGTTCTGAGCCCACAGTCATAATTCGCATATACATGTGGCGTATTTATTTGACATGATGTCAATAATTATTTTCAAGCATGGTTTATTTGACAGATAATAGCTGCTCGAAGGAGGCACGTCGAAATCAGAAAGTGACTTCCTAATATCTTTCTTCTATCCATGTTGCTTTGAGAATTCTTTTTTTTTTTCAAATTGTGATGCATGGTTTATTAATAGATTGCTTCTAAACTCAGATGCTACAAAGTAAGCATTTTCTTTCTTAATTAACTAGTTATAAGATCACCTTTCTTGCACTAGTTTTTGGCTTTTCATCTGTGTAATCAATTCAGTCAGGAATGGACTGTTGAGAGCAATAGATTTAAGGTACATATATTACACTACGAAATCCTTCTTCCAACTTCAGTATTGCCTAGTTTCTCTCATTGAAGATGGAATTTTTCAGCTTATAATTTCTGATTGTTTTCTCCAGGAATTTGTTGTTGAAGCTTTTAGCACGGCAACCGCCTGATACTGCAGTTGTACAGCACGTATCCCCACTGGATCTAAGAAATAATAGTGGTAACTCAATAAAAGTTGTCTCACTCCAAGCTCGAGAAGGTGTAGCAGAACTTGTAAAAAATATTGTTTTGTGAGAAGGATAAGTATTCAAACAGAAATGTTGTTTTGTAAAAAATTGTTGTTTTGTGAGAAGGATGAGTAATACAAAAAGAAATTTATAATTCATTTAGGATATTATTTTCCTCTTCATGTTACATTCGAACTTTTATATGATTAAGATTACATCATATAACGAGCACAAATAAATTTGTATATAGTGGGGGTAATCTTACCATGATGACCATAAACACTTTTCACTACAAACTTCAAAACCAACCAAATACAAGAAAAGTAGAAAATATCATATAAACAAAAGTTTTCCCTTTTTTTCCATGCGAACCAAACATAAGAAAAATAAATACTTTGGTTTCCCACCATTTTTTTGTGCGGACCAAAGAGAAACAATCTATTTCTTGAAAAAGTTTAGAAAACTCAAAACTTGTGTTTTTGTACATGAAAATGCATTTCCCTATATCTAGAAAACGAACCAAACAACCCCTCAAAATATAGATTTTTGGGAAAATTGCTTCTAAGCCCCAAATTTTAAAAATCAGTGTGACTCAGCCCCTCCTACTTTTACCTATGTGATGCACCCCCTAATTTTTGAAATTTTGTACCCCAGCTGCTCTAGCTCACCTCTCTACAAGTTTCAATGCATTTTACATTAAAATCTCAACTTTACCCTCAACAGCCTTCCTTCTTTCTTCTTCTCCTCCTTCACTCCTCCACTGCCCCCTCCCTCAACTCTCTCCTCCTCTCCTCCTCCTCCTCTCCGATCCTGTGGCGACGCCGGCTCCCTCTCCCGCGCCGAGATCCCCCGCTTGTTGGGGGTTTTCTAATGCCCGACGACAACATCTTCGACAACTCCACCGCCGTCCTCAGATACGGACATCAATGACAACATCGACGACGAAGACGCCTCCCCGGCAACGAAGCTGCCAACTCCCCAACCCACTCTAGATCCAACTCCTATAAGCACACAACAGCCCCTTCCCCTATCCAAGCCAAGTCCGGCCAACCTCAGCCCTAACCTTGCTGATTTATCATCGCTACCACAACACACTCCACCCAAATGCATGCCACATGTTTGACCTAATGACTGAACACCACGCCTAACCCTTGCACCTCCCAATCTTTGAAATATCACATCAGCCTTCAGCCGACGCTCTGCCTCCAACGTTATACCACCAACATCGTGTTACGAAGCCTCCCTACCCCAATGGTGCACCACCCACATCGCAGAGTT